AAGCTTCAATTATATATTATGGGTCAAAACAGGTTTTAGTGGGCAAGTTTAGGATCATCAATTGTTTTCTTTTCTGTAAAAAGAGTAATTTCCAGGGCCCTCCCTTGTGGCACAGCTAGCGAGGGCACAGTTAATGGGAGGATGTCCACAGCCTCTGCAACATGAGTTCGATACCCTCCCACCTCCAGGGAGATGACCCACATGGCGCAGCAGACCTCTCCTGCTTTGCCCACTGCTCCCCTCAGCAGTGTAGTTCACTTTGATCTGCCTGTTCTGCTCCCCATTCTACCTCCGGTAAATCCTCTTACATATCCTCACCTCTGGCCTGTACCCCAACTCTTGTATACATAAATAAATAAATCTTTAAAAAAAGAATAATTTCCAACTCAAAATATTCTCCTAAGTCATTATTAGCCTGCCTTATACTACAACCGATAAAGTCTATAAAGCAACTTTGCTTGTAGACAAAAGTACTCAAAAGAACTTTAAAACTGATTTTTTTAAAAATCAAGATTTCATAAATTAATACAAAGCATTTTCAGCAAACTTCTTGCTGTCAATTACATTAATTTGGACATTAACATTTCTAACCCATGAAGCTTAAAAATATCAGTATTAGAAATATAAGTATCAAAAAAAAAAAAAAGAAATATAAGTATCAATCTCAAAGTCAATTGGTTAAAGCAAGAGGCCAAAAATCAAACAAAACTAAGGCCAATATGGATTTAACAATCTGACATTTGTCATTGCTAAGGTTTATTTTCTCTCCTATCCTTCAAAGTATAGTTATGATCTAAAAATAATTTCATCTTAAATTTAAAAACAAAATCTACTTCTTCTCTAGATATATTCTACATTCAGACAGCCCTTGAGATATAACTTTTTACAATCACCATTTGGCATATACAAAGCCTATCTTGTAAACTATTCCCCTATAACTTTTAAATTACTACTATTTCAAGACATCTTAATAGGAGTATCACTTATAATAATGGCAACTAGACAAAATGGCCTTTCTGTTTAATGCTAGCAACACTAACAGATGTTTAGCATATAATTTTTAAGACCAATCGTTTAGAGTATGGCAACTGAGAAGAAAAACCTGCTATCCTCTTTCATTACAGGAAAATAACAAATCTGTAAGCCAAAGATAACAGGCATTTTTATAAGCCTGAGCCCATGTCAAATAAAGCAGGACGTGTCCATATTCTGTATACCAAATAATCATAAAACATACACTTATGACAACTCCAATTGTTTTCAATAATAGCTATAATTTACCATGAAAAGGGGAGAAAAGGGTTAAAAAAATTAGGTTCAAGCAAAACAGAAACCTACATTCTATAGGATCTAATTGTTTTATCTTTAATATTTTATGCCAATGCATAAAACTCAAATATTAAATATTCAAAATACTTATCAGGAACCTATCAAGTTTCTATAATCTTGTATAACAAAAGGAATATAAAAATTCCTTAAAACAAACTTCCATGTACACTATACAGAAGCGCTAAAAACTTTTTATTTTTTTTGCAGGTTTATACCATTTTTAATCTTGTCTTTTTTAATATTATAATTTTTACATTGTCTTGTGCCTTTTTCCATCTCAGTTTTAAAACTTTATTTTTAATACATACTATGTAATAGCCACAATTCATTCCAGAAGTGTTAACAATTTAAAACAGTAACATTCTACTTTTTAAACGTTAGTTAAATGTTCTTTACTGATACAAACCCTACTTGTGAAATACAACAGAACTAAAGTTGCATTCATTGTCTTCAAAAACATCAAAAATATCTTATAACCATTTAGTCAATTAAATGCAACTATTCAAATTTATCAAAACTGTCATTAGTCTCTTAAAAGATGGAATCAGCAAAGAATAGCCACACAGAAAGCAGCTACTTCACTTGAGTTTAAAATAGAACAATTTGGCAAGTCACCTCTAGAAAGATATGTATCATAAGAACAAAGTAATGATCAATTATCATATTATTGAGGTAGCAATGACATTATAAAAAAAAACTGTATGTAATATGGGATAAACTAATTAAATAGGTTGTATCCAAATTCAAATTATTCCCAGAGTGTCAAAATTCTTGAGAGAGAAAGAAGAACTAGATGTAAAAAAGAAGAAATTATATAAAAATTCTATAGGGTGTATTTTAACTGAAAGTGACATTTATTTTTTACAATTTTATCTTTTAAAAACATACGTTCAAGCTTCCCTTCAACAGAGTAGATATGGTAATGAGCAAGAAACAATGAATATCACTAGTGTACAGATTGGATTTTTTAAACATCATTTTCCACAAAAAAAGGGGGGGGGGGAGGAGATGGTTCTTCCAGAATAATGGCTAATTCCAGCACCAAGACTTAAAATCTGGTAAAGGCACTTGTTATGCCAAACAACAAAGAATCCATCAAAGTCTGTTAGGGTTCTAGCTAAAGGACCCAAAGCCAATTTTTATTTCCCCTGGCCAAAGTTGGGACCCTTTCAATAATAAGAACCACTAACTACCACGACTCCACTGCAGTGTACTGAAAACACCAAATATGTTTAAACATATCATTTAACTGTGATACCAAGAAAGAATGGTGGTCATTTTTAGTGGAGATCAATAGACTAATTTACCATTTTGAAAACTGATAAATAAAGTAAGGACTTAGGCATATATGCTGACTTCCCTATACTAACTGAAATTCCTGTAAACAAATGACAAAGAATAATTTTCCTTAGAGAAACATCTTAGGATACAATTGACAAACATTAGTTTTAAAATACCACTTTTTCACAGCCATTTGCTAGTGAATTAATCTAGAAATTGAGCATTAAGAGCTACTAACCTCACAAAATCATGAATAACCATACATTAGAGATGAAACCACATGTTTAAAAAGTTGCCCAAAATTTCTAAACTAAATCTACGACTCCCTTAAATCCAACCACCAATTTTCAAGAAATACAGAGAATACACAAGATAACCACAGGAATGTTATCAGCAAAATTCAGACTTTGCAAAGCTGTACAGAACAAATGAGGAAGTTTCTTTAGCAAGGAAAACTAAGGGTCATTCAACCAGTGTCACCTTGTGAGACTTACTTATATCCTAATTTTAAACATGAAGAAAAATTATGTTTATGCAAAAACTGGAAAAATGAACATTGAAATTACAAGCCATTACTATTTTGTGATTTTGTAAAATAATTCAGTACCATCTTAAATATACATATAAGTTTACGTAGGGATAAATTCATGTTTACTTCAAAACAATGTAAGAGCAAATGTAGAGTGAAGAGAAATGGCAGCACTTAGTGCGGATAAAATTGGTCAAGAGCTGCAAATTTTTGTAGTATGGTTATTGGTTCTTGGGGATTTACTGTGCTATTTTCTGTACTGTATCCTTTTTTGTATATTTGATGTTTTCCATTAAAAGATGAAAAGCACAATAAGCCAACAAACTGAAGGAAAGCAAAAAACAAAGGTTACCAATGTAAATATACATTGACAAACTACAGTAGACAGTGGACCACTTTTTTCAACCCTTTAATACTTGTTTCAAAATACAGTATTTAAAACGGGACAAATACTCTAACATATAACTTACAATGAAGTATTTGTCTAAAAGTAAGAATATTTTTTCTTTAAAAGGCATAGTGTTCTTGCTATAAGTTGTTCTCATAATGCCTACGCATACAAGATAAACTTCTTGCATCAGAAGGACCCAGTTACAGATCACTAAGCTAGATGTGTAGTTAAAAGATCTACGTACCCAACGCCCCCAGTCTAAAATGTCAGGCAAATCTTATACTTCAATTTTAAAAAGTTACAACTACCATTTCAACCTAAAGGCAGAGAAATACAATAAAGAATTAGCTCACGGTAATTTTAACTTTTAATTTTTTATTGCATTTTATGATATCAAGACTAACAGTGTCTAATCAGTGAACCATCATCACTAGCTGCAAATTTAGAAATGTCTCAGATTTTTGAAAAAGCATAATTCCAAAGAATTTTCCCAAGTCAAGAGAAAAATATATCTTGGACAAAAAAAAAGTATAACTTCATGTCAGTCCAAACTAAACAAACAGAAAGTAAATCTGACACAAATTTTATGTACTAGTTAATTATTCCTTTTCCCCATATTGAATACATTCTCTCCGTATTACCCAGTAATTAACTAATTGAGTTAAAATTCATTGCCCAGTCTCTCTTGCAACTTGTTATGGTCATGTGACAAAATTATAACCACTGGGATATGAATAGAAACGATACACACAATTTCCCTTAAAGGAAAGGAAAATGTTTCTCCTTTTCTGTTTTTCCACTGACACACAATTATAAACCACCTTGGAACACATGATAGAAGCCACACATAAAAAACAACAGAGCAAGACAAAGATACCTAAGTCATGATGATACCATGGTTTCATGATGATGTTATGGAAAGCCTCCATACTATCTCAACTGTTTACATGAGCTTTTCAAATAAATACAAATGTATTTCTATCATTTAAGGCCTATGTCATAGTAGCCAAGTCCATACTTTATACTAGATGAATGCGACAGCTTAAAAATTATATGCCAAATACCATTAAATTTGATTTTGAGTCTTATTTTCCCATGTATGAAAATTTTTTCTGGAAAATTTAATGTGGATATATATGAGTGTTGGTGACAGAGGGATGAAAAATGTAATATCCTGTAAAAAGATAGGGTTAAAGAGGAAAACATCTTTCCTACTTAAAATTGCACTTAAGGTTACATAGAAGCTACACATATGTTTCAGTGCTACACCAAAGTTAAGATCTAAAATACTGTCACCAGTTCATCTATTTTCTCTTAAAGTTATCTTTTCAAAAACAATGATAAATGCCACATTCTTCCAACTATAAATATCAAATACTTATAAAAAGCAAAAGTCTAACATTCAAAAATGGTTTCTTATTTGAAAACATTTACTTATTTGTGAGTATGAAAAATAAGCATTAAAGTTACCTCAGACTAAGGTGAAAATGAAGACTTCAAGGAAGGGAATGCTGTAGAGTTGAAAAAGAAATCATGGTTGAATTTCATAGGCTTCAGAGACCCTCAATACCACCTTAATCACTTATGCCATCCAATTCCTACAAAAAAGAAAAACATACAACAACAACAAAAATATACCATTTAGGGATGGAAAAGTACTGTACAAATACAATATGGAGAAAATGGCATGGAAATGAAGTGGTCACTTTTTTGTAAACAATAAGCTACACGTGAATGTCCAAAGAGTGACATGTTTTCAAATCTGGAACTGGGAAAATATAACTGCACCGAAGTATTAACTGTAAAAACATCTGGCTTCCACGATGAAGAATTTGCTTAGATTTGGAGTCTAAGCTTCAGAGATATGGGATGCTGAAGGAAACTAAGGGGGCTACAGGCCTAAGGATAGAAAGAGAAAACTTAACACCACTAACATTTGCTTTATAATCTATGAAAAGAGAGAAGTAAACCAAAGACCAAGTTTTACAAATAATAAGTAGCACTAGTCATGTACACAGTGCATGTATATTTGTAACAGACAGGCTAGAATACGTTGTAAAATCATTTAGTACCAAGATACAGAACAAAATCAGCATGGTCATCTTTTGAGGAAAAGATGACAAAAAGATGGGAAAAATCATATGGGGAGACTGTGTGCCATACCCACCTCTCAACCTCAAATTAAGTAAAAATGAACATAAGCCATATACAAAAAATAAATTCCTAACAGTAAATACTTCTGAACACACTAACAGACTAGTAAGTTTATGGAATTTCCTACCATAAAAGTCTTAAAAATATTAGACTCCTATCTATAAGAATGGTTTGTATGTACTCCTTTATAGGAAGCTTGGATTCAGATGAGTTATGAAACATCCTATGATTGCATGTCATGTTTTTACAATAGTACAAAGGCAAGAAGAACAGTCTTTAACCACCTATGACAAAATCAGTAATAATTCTACTTTTAAGCTACAGAAAATACTAATTCACTTTTAAAAAATATTTCAAGCCTACATCCATATTTTTAAAAAAATATAAATTCTGATGGAGTTATTCATTCCTCAGTAAGTATCTTTCATTTTGGATTTTCTAGGACACTGATGCATGTCATTTTTTTTTACAGATAAGCTTTTACCCAAAGTAAAACTTTTCCCCAATAAGACCAAAATATATATAGTGAAATGACAATAGTAATAATAACCTAAGCAGGAGGGAGAAGGGAATCACAATCCAGCTACCCTGATATATTATCAAAAATGCCCAATTTTTAACAATAAGTTATATAAAGATGTACCCTCCCCCCCAAAAAGGAAAATGTGACTTATATTAGTGGAAAACCGCAGTCGTTACAAACCACTTTTGATTATTTCCAGAGTAATCAATGATATCAAAGTAGCTATTATAAATAAGTTGAAAGAAGCAGAAGAACCATTTTTAATGGTTATAAGTTAAAAACATGTATTTTTAATTATAACAACAGTAAACAAATGAGATTTTTAGGAAAGGTACAGATTACTTGATAGAACCACATGGAAATTCTGCAGTTGAAGAGTACCCTAAGTAAAACAAAAACTTTACTAGAAAGTATGGACAACTGATATAAGACAGTCGACTTAAGAAGGAAATCAACATCAGAGATAGCAGTAGAAATTATTCAATCTGAAGAACAGTGAGGAAAAAAAGGTTAAAAAAATTGAATAGCACTTTAGAGATTAACTTACCAACATTTATGGAGTCCCATAAGGAGAGAAGAAAAAGTACAGGAAAAAAATTTGTTTTAAAACAAAACACCAGCCAAAACGTCCCCAAATTTGATGTTTTAAAAGAAATCAAATCTACAGATCTTAGAATCTCAAATATGATAAATACAAAGGCCTATACCTAAACATATCATAATAAAACTGCTGAAAGAAAGCAAACAACAAAATATTTTGCAAGCAGAAAGAGAAAATTTACTTGGCATGTGCAGGGAATCATCAACATAATTAACAGCTGACTTTCAATCAGAAACAAGAGGCCAGAAGACAGTGGAATCACATATTCAAAGTGCTGAAAGAAAAAAAATGGTCAACCAAGGAGGCAGCAAAATTATCTTTCAATAATGAAGGCACAATAGGAAAAGTCTCAGATAAACAAGGAAAGCGAGAAATTTTGTTACAAGAAATACCAAAGAAGTCCATCAAGCTGAAAGGAAAAGAAACCAGACTCAAATACATTGGAAGAAAAGAAGAACACCAGAAGTGATAAATATATAGGTTAAACTAAAAGACTATATAAACATATTTTTCTCATGTCTTCTCTTAACAACTTTTAAAAACATTAAAAATGTATAAAGCAATGATTATACTATCATATTGCTGGGCTTATAGTGTATATAGGTGTTATATAAAAACAATAATGACACCACAGAGGAAGAAAATGGAAGTCCTCCTGGAGCAAAGTTTCTACATTTTACTGATATGAAGAGCAGTGCTAATATTAAGCAGTTTATTCAAATGCTTAATAGAAACACTGTAACAACCACAAAGAAACTCTTAAATCCTGTTGAGTTTAAAACAAACAAACAAACCAGCAATTAATACAGCACAGTAAAACGTATTTAACACAAAAAGAGCAGTAAAGGAGGCAGAGGAACAGAAACCAAAGACAGTAAACAATGGCAAAAGGCAAGTGTAAATTCACAATTTAAATGCGAATGGTCTAAACAGCTCAAGAAAAGGCAGACTATCAAATTGAACAAAAAGCTATGATTCAACTCTATACTGTCAACAAGACTGAAAGTACAAAGATGGAAAAAAAGAATACACAATGAAAATAATAACCCAAGAGAGCTGAGGTGGATATTATCAGACAAAAACAGACTTTAAGACAAATATTACTATAGACAAAGGAAGATACCTTGTATAATAAATTTAGATATTATGACAATTATAAATATATATGCACCAAGAAACCCAAATTAAAGAAGCAATAGCACTATTGAAAAGAAAAACAGAAAATTAAACAATTACAAATGGAGATTTCAATTCCACACTCTAAGTAACTGACAGAACAACTAGACAGGAAAATTAGCAAAGATACTGTAGTGAAAACTTGAGCCACACTATCAACCAACTAGATCATACTGTCATATATAGAAAACTACAAACAAAAGTAGAATACATAGTGTTTTAAAGCATTTTTCAAACAGTCTTCAGGACAGACTACAAGATATGTCATAAAATAAGTCTCAAAATTTTAAAAGGACTGAAATCATACAAGGTGTTTTCTTCAATAGTAACAGAATTGAATTAGAACTGGAAAGCACTCACATGTTTGGAAATCAAATTTCATACTTCTAAATATTAGATACAGGTGGGGCAAAGAAATTACGAAAAGAGAAAGTAGAGGATAGTTTAAACTGAATGAAAATATAGACAAACATCAAAATTTATGGGATGCAGATAAAGCAATATTTAGGAGAAAATTTCTAAGTTTACATTTGAAGAAGAGTCTGCCACTTTTTCTTGATAAACCAGAAAAAGAGTAAACTAAATTAAAAGCAAGCAGAAGGGAATAAAAAAGATTAGAGCGGAAATTAAAGAAATAGAAGAGCAAATTTGGTTCTTTTAAAAGATTAACAAAAGTGACAAATTTTTGGATGCACTGGCTGAGACCAAAGAGAAATACAAATTACCAAAATCAGGAATGAAAGAAGGGACATTACAACTGACCTGATAAAAATTAAAAGAATTAAAAGGACTAATATAAACAAATTTAAGTAAACAAATTAGACATCTGTGAACTAGATAAATTCCTAAATTGACACATGATCAAATAGGAAAGTCTAAATGTAACAACAAACTGAATTGGTATTTAAGTCTTCACACAAAGAAAAGTCCAGGTTCAAATGGATTCACTGATGAATTCCATCAATTTTTAATACCGATCCTTGACAAAACTGGGGAAGGACATTTTACAACCCAATCTAGGAAGTCAGTTACATATATGCTAGTCACAGACATCACATGACAACTATACACCAAATATATTTCATGAACATAGATACAAAAAACTTAAAAATATATTAAAAACATATATATATATGTACATATGTGTGTGTGTGTGTAAAAGGACAATATACCATGACCAAGTAGGATTTACTCATGAATGCAAACATGGTTTAACATCTGAAAATCAATTAATGTAATACCATATTAAGGAGAATAAAGGGGAAAAAAGTTAACTGAACACACGGTACAAAAGGACTTGATAAAATGCAATATCCATCCATAACAAAAATTGTCAACTAGGACTAGAAAAGAACTCCCTCAACCTGTTAAAAGGAATCTACCAAAAAGCCACAAATAACATCAGAGTAATAGCTACTCAATGTTTTCCTCCTAAAAACATGGATGTCTGTTTTCACCCCTTCTATTCAAAATTGTAATGAGGCTCCCTAGCTGGTGAAATAAAGCACACAAAAACAGATTAGGTTTGTAGGCAGGCAGGCAGGTAGGTAGACAGGTAGATAAAGCAAGCAATTAAAAAGAACTCACAAGATAGAAAGGATAAAATAAGACTATACTCTCTGGTGATATGATCCTGTATGTAAAACTACCCTAAAGAATCACAAAATAATTAAGTAGAACTGAGTTCAAAGGGCCACAAGAAATAAGTTCAGTAAGGTCACATGATAGTAGTTCAACAAACAAAAATCAATATATTTCTGAGTGAAATAACTACTATCACCTTCCTAACGAAAATCTGAACTAACACAAATTTTCTTCCTTACCCCTCAGTAGAGTTTCAAAATTTCTTCAGGTAGATTGCTCCCAGGCATTTACCTTTCTAATTGTTACTGTGAATGTATACTTTTTTCCAAATGTGTAGAAAAGAAATATGTAATTTGATAACTGGAATGAAGACAACTGGTTAGTCATCTGGGGAAAAAAAAGCTGAATCACTACATTTATTGCTTATACCAAATATATTCAATATATATCAAGATTTGAAACAAAAATAATGTAACAAAATCTATAACTTTCTGTAAGTACCACAGCTCACATAACCTAAAACTACCAATCTAAAGATACACAATTATTTTATATGCTACTAGCAAACAAACAAAATAATGTCAATGACAAACTGATGATTCATATTTTAGAGATTATAATGTAAAGAAAAAGGTGAACTCTACAATCAGTGGCAAAGATTTCTTAAACCTTAGAGAGAAACCTCCCCACACTCAGCCATGAAGAAAACAACAGACAAATTCAACCATAAAAAATATAAACTTCTATAAGGCAACTGCAAAATCAAAAGATAAACAAAAAGCTGAGTGAAAATAATTTGTGTAACAAATAAGAAGGGGCTTATTAGCACATGGTCAAACAAATAACTAAAAACATACATATAGCCAACAAAATGGGGGAAATGCTCAAACTCTTAATAAATTCTGAAAAGCAACTAAACAACAAAAAACTAAAAAATTAAAATTTGACACTAGCTAGTATCAAAGAGATAAAGAGATTACCATTTCCCTCTACTATTGATACTGGGGCAGTCATTTAAAAGTTAGGCAATTTATCTACCAAATTATTAAATATATATACTCTTTGGCACATCAATTTTTCCCTTAGGATTTTATTCTGCAGATATATTTTAAGATAAATACAAAGACAGTACCCAAAAATACATACATTAGCACCCGTAATAGCAAAAACAAACCAAAATGCCTAAATATCCAGAATAGATGACTAATAAAAATACTAGACCACTATACTGATTGAAATGAAGTCTACAAAAAGACATGCTGATATACAAAATGTATGGTGTGACCTCATTTGTGTTAAGTATAGGTAAATAGAGATATACATAAAAATGCTTACATATGCATATATATATATATATGAAAGCACACATATATAAAGAGAGTAAAAATGTAAGGATACACATTCACATAAATGTTAACAGTTAGTGGAAAAAGAAAGTCTTGTTTTCTAACATAACATCTAGTGCTTAAGTATGTGCTTATAATAAATCTGGTTAAACAGTGAAAAAGTTAAACATGACAATTAGCAGAAAAAGGAAAAAAATCCTAAAAATGGCCACTAAAACTACTATTTTCACATCCTTGTTTATAAGAATTCTCAAAACAAAATTTACAAGAAACTGTGGAAATTTTATGAATATAACTGACATGACACCATGTGCAACTAAAAGATATGTAAATACCCTGACAACTACGGGGACATTTTCTTTCAAATTGTTTAACAGACTGAAAAGCTCAGTTTTTAATATATGCACCAAGAAGAAAGGATCATCTGTATTCCTACTATAGAAAAATAACATGTAAGTAACCTAACTTAAGTGAAAGATAACAGTCTGCATCCTTTAACACCACTAACATTCTTTCCAATGTACAAATGTTCTTATCTATATAAAGCCTTATCTTGTGTATATTCACAGTATTCATGCCATATACGTGGGTATAAAAAAGGACCATCCAGAGCTGTGCAGTACTACCCAACAATTATGAGAGTTGCATTCATGTGTAATTACCTGAGATTATCACAGGTAAAAATCAAAGACTGAGCATAACATTGTTACATTACCTCTATAAAGTATGTCAGGCAAATGCCCATCCCGTCAGATCACTTGGCTGTATTTCCAGCTGTTGATTCCTCCTTCTATCCTACAAATGTACAGAAATAGTTATCCCCCAAAAGAATCAGCATTAGATATAGAATAGTCAACTAAAACAATTACAACTAAATATATCAAATCTAACATATTTCTTTCCACAGTAAATAAAGTTGAAGTTGATAAAATTAGTGGTAACTAACATTTAGCCAAACTATAAAGACCCATCAGTGCTAAATGATATCAATAAAGGTAAAAAATTAATCTAGAAACTAACTAGACATTTACAGTTTTAACTTGTAGATTAGGATTAACATTTCTTTAAAATCAGAGCAATAACTTAGAATTATCTTAAACCACTTAAAGTGGAAGAAAAAAAAGACAGATGTTGATACTCTCCATTACTCCAATAATATTATTTCTTAAAACACTCCGGTAACATTTCCCATAGTTCAAGAGCCTAAACATATCAATGATACAGTTTTTGAAAATAGAAAAATATTAAATATTTAAATTCTCCAAGCAAACTTAGTGGTGTTAAAATGGTACACATATATTTTTAAATGTCAAACTATAAACAACCTCATAGCAGACACAAATACAGAAAATGAAGCCCCCGTGTGACAGCATATCGATATTGAGCATATATAATTTTCTCCCTCTATCTTTCCTGGTATATGAGATGGAGATAGTGAAAACTGACAGTTAACATTTTACTAGAAACAAAGAATAGATCAAATAAACTTTTATTCAGAAATAAAAAAGCATTTAATGTAACAGCCCCAACATATTTTTTTGTTCAATAAACATCTTGCAAATCAATAAAAGCTGTATATGTAAAATCAAAACTAAAATAAACTTAAAACCTTTAGAAAATAGACAAGTAGTTAATTCAAAGTTGTATTTACATAAATTTTATCAGGGGGTTACAAATATTATAGTTTTTTTGATCATTCATTTTTTTAGTCATTACAAACACACTACTGCCCTTCTGGTAATTCCTATTTTCTAGTCCTTAGCAAGTTAGTAGTTTTGTTGCTGAACTAGTTACAATCAAAAAAATCTATTTTTAAATAATTTGTTTCTACTTAGCGCATAGTTAATCTGCCTCAACAAACAAAAAAGACCGTATCTGCATTCCCCTCAGTTATGTAAAACTACCTGTATTTATTTCCATAGCAGTAGTACCAAAAATTTTTAAAATAAAAAAGCCGCAACACAATACTATTTTTGTTAGACATTATTATAAACAGGTAAAGTAAAACTGTATCTACACTACTCTACTACTCATTATTCTATGTTTTTTACTGTAGTAAGCGTCCAGAATTTCTAGCATGGCTGAAGAAATAAAGCTGAACAGAAAAAGCATGGAAAAGTCTACATACAGGAAATTAAAATGTCTCCCAGTTGTGGATGCTATGAATCTTCTCAAAAGTTGATGAGTATATCTAGTCTGCAACCAAGACATTATTAGATATGTTACCACATAATATGGTAAAATCTACAGACCAGACAAACATTTGAAATTCTAATAGTGTTGAAAATATTTTCATAAAATGTCCAGCCACCTTCTTGCATCACTTTTTTATGGAAAAGTTAAGGCTGCAATAACTTAACTAGGGATGTTAAAAGTGAAGGAAACATGCCTCTTTTTCTCTCTCACATATAAAATATAAATTAAGTCTAGATCTAAAAACAGAAGCTCTGAAATATCTTTCTAATTAACAACCTTTCCTCTACTATGGAAACCCACAATATCCCCCTAACTCATCTGCATAACAAACTGTGTCTCTACAATAGAAACTCTGCTTAGTTATGTTCCTAGGACACTAGACAGCAACTCAGTCCAAACAACAAATCTATGAGATTACTGGTAGTATTATTCACATTTTACAAAAGAGAAAACTGAGGGGTTAATTAACTTATCAAAGGTTATAAAATTATTAATCAGCAGAACCAAAATCCTTCTACAGTCTACAAAGTCCTGGACAATCTATTGTGCTATTCCTTTCTCACCACCAACACCTTCACATCTCAGACCTCATCTTCTATACTCTTCTATCCTGAACTTCTATGCAAATATACTCCAAGAAACAATGACTTTGACCTTCTTATCTTCCTACATCTTTCAGCAAGGTACCAGCAACATGCCTTCTGCACTAGCTATTCCTAACTTTGGATCACTATTTCCCTAGAAATCCTCATAACTAAAACCTTTACCTACTTCAATTCTTTGCTCAATTATCATCTTGCTAATGAAACATTTCCCTGTCATGCTATTTAAAATTATAACCTTCTACCAACTCCTTTCATTCATCTCAATCTCTTTTTATTTATTATATATTTTACATAGTGCCTACTATTTAACATATTTATTTTATGATATATAAGCCCCAAAAGAGTGAGGAATTCTTTTGTTCACTAAAGTGAACAAGTGATATATAAAGTGCCTAAAACGGTGCCATGCATATAGTTCACTTTTTTTTTTTTAAATAAGTTAAGCTGAACACCAACCCAGGAAATCAAGTTCTAGAAGTTTAACCATCACCAACTATGGAACCAGAACTATCCTGAACTATGGAATACAGAGATAATGAAACTTCAAGAGAAATATTATAAATCTAATGAAAAGCAGTCTTTGCTAACAAAACTAACCTAGGGCAGTCTTGGCAACATCATTCTTCAACTTGGAAATTTCCCTAAAAAGTTCTAAACAATAAAGAAATCCAATTTATGAGTCTACTATAAATTCTAAGATACACTGTATCAAACAGAAAACAATAACCCCTAGTAATATAAAGAATAGTATAGTTTACCTAACATAACTTCCAGTCCCTGTTCTCAAATTATGCTAATGTTACAAACATAATTTCAGAAGTACATTGCAAAAGCTCTAAAAATATGTAATTTAAAATAGAAGGGAGTTTCCTTCAATTTTTCCAAATAGTTCACATGCTTTCTATTTGGTTCTGGAAACATGGATAACTTCTACCTCAAAACTGCAATGACACATATATCCCTTGCAGTATGTATTTTCAGTTTACTAAATTTTGTTGCAACTGTCATGGCTACCTAGAAAAGAGGACTGCAAGAGATTTTTGTGAATTAATGTATCAAATCCAGACAAAAGATGTGTTAGAGGAAACCTCCACGAAAAGTATCAAGAATGAATTTCTAAAACAAAATTTAATTTAAAAGGAACCTAACAAAAATGTAACTGTCTTAAAACTATGTCATTATAGCTTACACCTTAATGGTACTTTCAAGTATGACCATTCTAGAAAACCCATTTACTGATAAAGAACATGGTCCTTGGTTCGGGTTACATATTATAGAGCTAAATTTTAAAGTTTCATTTAACAGAAATGCTTACACAAGTTTTAACTGCTTATTCTCTCATAAACACTGCCAAAAAACAGATTAGTAACTTTCTCCTTTAAATATATAAATGCCAATGCACTGAAGTCATATAGCATAAGAACTGGAAATAAAAATTGCTTCAGCATCTTTTAAGTAGATCACATTTTAAGGTAATCAAATTTTACATTAGTTCTTTTGTGATTTCATGATGCTTTCTCAGTGATGTTTAAAGTAAAAAAGCTTGGTCAAGGAAAGTGAGTCATATGAATATGGTAACAGTAACAAAGTAAAGCTTAGATTTACTCTGCTTTGAAAATCAGTTATTATAACTTTCTGAATAATGTATATTTTATGACTCTATCACAACTAAAAATGACAGCACAATAAATTCAAATGCATCACCTCAGAAAGTACCCTATAGGTCTTTTAAACACAATTTTCCATTTCTACTCTTGCCCAAATCTTACAAACTTCACGATTAATGTACTTAGTCCACTTAGTTAATAAAAAAAATCTATAAAGGAACAATCAAATTCTGAAAGACTGAAGTAAAATAAAGGCACCAACTTTAAAGTTTCATCTGCTCTTTATTTTTTCAAATGACCATACCATCAAATATTGGTCAAACAAGAAACCAACTATCCATCCACATTAGAAACACAAAAGTAGCATTTTTATAAATTTCTTAGCCTGTAAGACAGAACTAATCTTTAAATGTAAATCACCTGTTATGGGAATCACACACCCAAAACATTATTTCACTGAAGACAATAAGCTATTAAAATAACTATGTCACCGAACCACAATTTACTAAAGGAAATTAGTAAACTCAAAGACAAGCTGCTTTATTTTTAAATGAATTTTTATTGAAATATACATTCTGTAAATAATCATATTTTTGTACCATGATGACTAAGACCTTAAACTCAGGCAAATCTGCAAACGATCTTTGATGATACAAATATAGTCTGAAACAGTACTTCCATGTTTAAAAAGTGCTCTCACATGTCCATTTCATCAAGCCTTCTCCCCCCACACACACACACACATACACAACTAACTAGGCAAGTACTACCGTTTGTCTGTTTGTCTCCATTGTACAGATGATGAAACAGGAGGTTAAGTACCCAAGGTTACTCAACATCTAAGTGTCAAAAAAAGGACTTCAACCAGATCTTCTGCCTCTTAATAAACGTCTATTCCAACACACCAACAAAGTACAGATCATCCCCAAGTTAAAATACTTAACATTACTCTTAGCAGTGTTCTAGGAGTCAGAAAAAAAAAAAGTAATTCTTTGTGAATAAAACATTATTTAAATGTTATTAAGTCCAGTATATAAGCAGTATATATATCTATTCCCTGGCACCGTATTAATTTGTTATGACTGATCTCCTGAAAACTCACCAGTGTATTTATAGTAGTTTATAGCTGAAACATTTATATATTGCTTAAAATTTCATAAAGTATATGACCATATACCATCATCTTCAAAGTTGAAATAACCCACTATATAGAGATGGAACAGGATCGTAGAAATTAAAGAGACTTGAACTTTCAGTCTAAATAAGATGGTACAGATCTGTTTTTCCCTGGCCCTCCTCACTAAACACAACTATAAATGATGGAAATAAGAGACAACAAAAGGAAAACCCTGAAAAGTGGAAAGAAGGCAGGGAACCAATTTGGGAC